AATTGAGCGCGTGTTTTGGAAATGTTCATTTCAGACCAGCGTGCCATTCCGTGGTTCCCCAAGAAGATTTCCGATCTGGACCTTTGCAAGCAGGTTCTGATGTACGGCTCCGACTTGGACGCCGACCACCCGGTTTGTTTTGGCTCAAAAAAACAAAAGCGACGTGTGGTCTGAACGGCCCCCCCAAAAAAAACTCTAACAAAACGAATGAGGTGTCTTTGTAGGGATTTAAAGACAGCATTTACCGCAAAAGAAGGAGCTACTTTGCCGATTTGGCTCGGAGCTACAAACAGTAAGTTGGAGCCTTTTTGATTCGCCGTTGCCGTCGTTGTCATAGCCGTCGTCACCCGCGTTCCTAATCATTTGGCAGCGGTGAGCAGATCCCCCGCGTGGACTACACCCCGGAGGAGGTGCAGACCTGGTCTCGGGTCTTCCGCGAGCTCCACCAACTCTACCCCGGCCACGCCTGCAAGGAGTTCCTGGACAACCTCCCCCTGCTGGCCCAACACTGCAACTACAAGGAAGACAACATCCCCCAGTTGGAGGACGTCTCGCGCTTCCTCAAAGGCGCCACAAATCGCCTCTTCCTCGACACTCACAAATCCGATAATCAGACCGAGATCGGCAATCATTCCGAGGCTTCGACGCGCCCAACAGACCTGATTTTGGACACATCGTAGATGAGTTTGAGTCTTTAACGATCGTGCCCGACGTTTGGTTTTGGTCGACGTCAAAGCGGAACGAGTCTTCAACGAAAGCCGCGTGCAGCTTTTTTAGGTCTCAAAAAACAAAGCTCACGTTCCGTCAACACCGAGAGCGCTTTGAAGCCGTCAACAAACAATACATCAAGAACAAAGACGTTTTTGTCAAGGTCAAAGTCCATTTTGTCCGACTAGCCCGAGATATGCCACATCAAAGATAAAATTAAAAAAGACAAACCAATGTCGATGTTTTCGTCAACATCGAACACAATGTCGTCTTCCTCGACTAACGTGGGTGGTTTAGAAGCATTCAAATCAGCATGTGGAGTTTTGTTTTTTTTTTTTTTATGTTCACATCAAAGACAAAATTGGGAGTCATAGTCAAACGAGACTTTGTCAATGTCAGAGCCCATTCAGCCCGGAACTTGCGTCGCGTTCATACTCCATTTTGTAAAGATTGAAGACCTTTCTTTCACTTTTTGGAAACGAATCGACGCGTTTGTAAACATCAAACAACGTGGACTCGTCGATAAACGTCCACGTTTTTTGCAAAGCTCAAAGGCAATTGGGTCTATAAAGCGCGTGTGGAATATGGGAAAAACAAGCGCAATTTGGTCTCCCAAAAGTCCACGTCTGACCTGAACTTTTTGGGAAAAGACATTGAAGACTCTGAGACAAAACATATGAACAAATGTCTTCTTAAAAGAACGGAGCTGACGCAAAGTACATGATGGGATTGTGTCAAAACAACGTTGACAGCCTTGGACAAACACACTTGATTTTCTGAACATTCAAGGCAATTTTGTGTCAACGTTCAAAGAAACACGGACTGATTTTGTGTGTGTGTGTGTGTGTGTGTGTGTGTGTTCGCAGGGCGCTCGGGGTTCAGCATTCGTCCAGTGTCTGGCTACTTGACTCCCCGAGATTTCCTGGCAGGTTGTGTCTTTGTCATGACTTTGGATCGCAGCTCTCGGATGCTTTCTGGCCTCACCGATCCCCCCCCCCCTCTGCCCCCCCCCTTTTTTTTTTCTTGGCAGGGTTGGCCTTTCGAGTGTTCCACTGCACCCAGTACATCCGCCACAGCTCCGACCCCTACTACACACCCGAACCGTGAGTCCAAACGCACAAACTCGCTCGACGTGCCTTTCGGCATCCGCTGAAAAGTGGAAAGGGTCTTTGATATCCGGGGGGGGGGGCCGTCGGTGTCAATCGCCGCCGCCGCCGCAGGGACGTGTGCCACGAGCTGCTGGGCCACGTGCCGCTGCTGGCCGAGCCGAGCTTCGCGCAGTTCTCGCAGGAGATGGGTCTGGCGTCGCTGGGCGCCGACGACGACGCCGTTCGCAAACTGGCCACGGTAAGCGCCGAGGCGCCGCCGCGCGGCCGGCGTCTCTCTGAAGCTCTCCGCTGCGTCCGGCCCGGCAGTGTTACTTCTTCACGGTGGAGTTTGGACTCTGCGAGCAGGACGGAAGACTTCGCGCCTACGGGGCCGGCCTGCTCTCGTCCGCCGGCGAGCTCAAGGTAGGGCGAACGCCGCCGGCTCCGACCTCGGCCCGCGCCGACCTTTTCGCCATCACCGTTTGCATTTCATCGCAGACGCCATTCGGATTGAAAATTGTGATTTCCAAGTTGGTTTTGGGGGAGTCGTGAACTCACCCGGAGATGATTTGTCGTTATTTCAATCGTCCTTTTGTCATTGGACGGTTCGCTACGAAGTACCCGAAGATGTTTCGATTCGTGCGTTTGGCACATTTTCACACAAACGTAATCACGTTGCTGGAAATGCACCGGTGAGCAGTCTTTTCATGTTTGCGCCATTTTTTGCTTTTCTTGGCCATTTTTGGGGGTTTTGTGGCGGGCGGGCGGGCGAGCAAGCACGCGCTGTCAGGCGAGGCCCGCGTGCGCCCGTTCGATCCTCGGCTGACGTGCGACGAGGAATGCGTCATCACCGCCTTCCAGAACGTCTACTTTGTCACCCAAACCTTCGACGACGCCAAGAACAAGATGAGGTGGGTGAAAAGAAAACAAGTCAGCCAATTTTCCAATCATGACTTGCTAGCCATGAAAAACGGGAAATTTGAGCTCATAAAAACGCAACTTTGTTCTTGACAAAAAAAAAATGGGGAATTTGAGCTCATAAAAATGCAACTTTGTTCTCGACAAAAAAAAGGTTTCTTCTCCAAATATTGCACCGACAGTTGAGCCAAAATGCGTCTTGAACTAAACAACAGCAAACCAATCGGAACTTTCGCCTTGTAGGATTTGTTGCTCAGAGGCCAGATCCCTCGACATGATGACTTTTTTCTTCCATTCTCAACAAGACTTCATTCTTGTCAAATGATTTTGACCTTTTTCATTTCAGAGTAACCCGAAAGAAGAAGAATGGCAAATAAATAACAGTCGCCACATTATTCAGTTACTTGAACCTTGTACAATGATGACTTTTTCATCAGAGAAATGACATTTTAGTTCCCAAAAACTTTCTTTGTGAAAGCATACAAAATAATGGTTGTGATTTTTGAAGAAGACAAAAAAAAAAAAAAAACCCTCGATTCTGAAATGTTACTTTACCGTCACATAAAGTTCTTGCGCAGAAATCTTTTTGCGCCCTGAAATATATATATTTTTTGTCTGCATGTTTTCAGAGGATGACAAACGTTCCCATCCCAAATGAAACTTTGCTGACTTAACTCTCGCGATGTCCCTTTTGCGATTGTGCGCGCTCGCAGGGAGTTTGCCAAGCGCATCGGCCGGCCGTTCTCGGTGCGCTACGACGCGTCCACGCAGAGCGTGGACGTGCTGCAGGACGGCGGCGGCATCCGAACGCCGGTGCAAGATCCGCGCCGCCAAGTGGACGAGGTGGACGACGCCCTCAACAGACTCGCCAGGCACAGCGCCGCCGTGTGAGCTCACGTGAGGCTGCTCGCCGTTCAAAAGTTTCATTGGAGAAAATTCTCACGATTTTTTTTTTGGGGGGGGGTTGGACAATAAAGTTGTATTCAATTCAATTCAATTCAATCCAAAATCTTGAACTGAGATAGGATGCTTGTTCACTAATGTTTTAGCACAATTCTCCTAACCAAAAAGATGGGGCCGGGGTGGTGCATCCCTGTTCCTGAGAGATTTTTTTTTTCAAATAAGACAACTTTGAGCTCATCATTTTCCATGATTTTCTAAAAAAAAAAAAAATAATAATACTCCACTTGAACAATAATGCAATTTTTTTCTCCAAAATGATGTCTTTTTTAAAATTATTTCACTGAGTTTTTGTTCACTTTTTAGCTGAAAAAAAAGACTTTCTGAAAATGTCAACTTTATTCTCCCACGACTGTGATGATTTTGTGTTTTTAAAAAATGACCCCCCCCCCACACACGCACACACACACACCCAAAATGTGGTTTTGACTGTCAGGTGCATTGTCGCTATGTGATGATACAATTTGTCGGCGGTTGTCCAAGTGTAATTGTTGCCATGCACGAAATATAAAATGAAGCTGAAATCAACGCCCGAACTGCAGAATTGTTATTTTTGTCACTGTGCTAAGAGTGGCTGATGACGTCGAGTGAGTTTGCTGATGCGGACTGCAGAGGCGCTCTAACGTCCCTCACTGAACGCTGCCATTGTGCTTGTCGCTCACGGCAGAAAATGAAAACATCAAATAAGTCTCAGAAGACTGAGCACTTGAATTAAACCGCGTCTCCCCCCAAAATAGGCATTCTTTGAAAAACATCCTAATTGCTGTAAAATCATGAGGCTTTTTTTCCTCAGGGGAAATAATCGGATTTTATTCTCAGGAAATAGCTTGCTACTTTGGTTTCTTTTTCGAAAAAGACACCTTTATTCTCTCAAGTAAAGACATGTCGAGCCCACTTTTAGGGGTGGTGAAGCACCCCTAAAAAAAGAATCCAAGCACCCTCTAAATTATGTTTCTTTCAAAAAAAAAACAAAAAAAAACCCCAAAAAACACACCATACTCAGGTGACATTTGCCATCCATTCTCTCAACTACTTTAGTATCACCAGCGAGCCGGAGCCTATCCCAGCAAGTTCTACGGAAATGCAGGCAGGGTAAACCCTTGAATTGGTTTCCAGCCCATCGCAGGGGCACACCGAGACAGACAACCGATCACACTCACAATCACAGCAGGGGACAATTTACTCAACTCAACTCAACTCAAATGTATTGACAGAGCACTTTCAAACAGCCATCGCTGCACACAAAGTGCTGTACATGGAGCAACTAACATATACAACAGTAAGCAAAACAACAAATCAGGATCAAAGACGGTAGAGGGCGCCAAACAGGATAACTAAGATCATAATTTAGAGGCTTCTGTTAACCTACCATGCATATTTTTGGACTGTGGGGGGGGGGCGGGGGAAATCGGAACACCCCGAGAAAAGCCACGCAGGGCACGGGGGGAACATGCCAGCTCCACATAGGAAGGCCGGAGCCGGACTCGAACCCTGTACCTCTGCGTTGTGCGGCAGACGTGCTGCCCAGTTGACACTTTCCCTGCATTTTGTGTATACTTGTGTTATCTTTGACTGATATTTACATTTGTTTGATGATCTGAAACATTTAAGTGTGACAAACCCCCCCCCCCCCCCCCCCCAAAAAAAAAAAATCAGGAAGTGGACAAACACTTTTTCACACTCCTGTATATAGGGTGGCCTCCTACTCACCTTTGACGTGTGCTGCCAAATCCAGAGGAATTCCTTTCCTAGACCATTTGGCTGGCTGATGAGCGAGGCGCTATCGCGGTGCAATCTGGGAATTGAAGTATAAGAGGGGTGTGCGTCGTTTGGGAAATTTAGGCGCTATATATATATCCATAAACACATAATAAACATATAAACGTGGCCCCAAGTGACGTCAAAAACAGCATATAAAACAACTAAATATCTTGAAATGTGGCAAATCAGTGATATTTCTGGCGCATGAGGGGCGAGGCGCTGTCGCGGTGCAATCTGGGAATTGTAGTCTAACTGTTGCGTGCTCCGTTCGACCAACTTGGGCTCTAAATACATCCAAGAACAGTCGCCGGCATATCTATGTGGCCCAGGTGACGTCACAAATAGCATATAAAACGAATAAATATCTTGAAATGGGGCAAATCGTTGAAATTTTGGCAGCATGAGAGGGGCGAGGCGCTATCGCGGTGCAATCTGGGAATTGTAGTATGACGGTTCTGTGCTCCGTACGGCCAACTTGGGCTCTAAATACATCCATAAACAGTCGTCGGCATATCTACGTGACCCCAGATGACAAGATAAGCGGCATAGAAAACGAATGAATGCATTTAACTTCGGCAAAACAGGGAGAAGCGAAGGTAAAATGGCCGGAAGAGCCATCACCCACGAACGCTTTGAATGGGAGGGGCGTGCCCGGAAAAGGCCCGGCGAGGCGGGCCTTGGATTGGCTGGAGGGTCTCGGGAGAGGGAGGGGGGGGGGCGACGGGGAGAACTGGGGTCTCCAGAGCAGTTGCTCGCTTTGGGTGTTGTCTTCTCCTCCGTCTTCTTGTGTGGAGCCATTTGACTCGCCACCGTCCCGTTAAGTCAAGTCGTCTGCCGAATCCCCATCAGCATGGGCGTCGAGGGCTGCACCAAATGTATCAAGTACCTGCTCTTCTTCTTCAACTTCATCTTTTGGGTGAGCTACCAAACAACCGACCGTGTTGCTCTTGTTGTTTTTCTTGAAGGCCACATTTTGCTTGCGCGCGGTTGGTCCGCCTCCCACCACCCTATTTTCCTCCTTCTTCTTCTTCTTCTATGCGTCGTTCGGTTCGGGGCCGGACAAAGCCTGCGAGGCTCCGGCTAGCGCGTGCAAGTCAAAATCCGAAAGCAGGCGAGCCCCTCAAAAATGAAAGGATGAAACCAAGAAGGCGTTGCGGGCGTGAGGGGGGGGGGCACACTTGGATTTATCGCTGTGCGAATTCACGTGGCGATAAAAATCGGACGTCTTATTCCGCGTGGAGCTTCACGCCGACGCCATTTGGTGGCCTTAGCTCGCGATCTTCAACTGTCGCACTTCAATTATCCGGGCCATCGTTTTTTTTTTTTTTTTTGAATTTAAACGATCTGGGATCACGCGCGCGTTTGTGTGTATGTGTGTGGGGGGGGGGGGGTTGTTTTTTGTTTTTATGTGGCGCAAGCCTTTGACACACTGCCTTTGATTTAAGCACAAAATGCTGTGCGCCTGTGTGTGTACGCGAGTGTTTGTGTGCGTGCGTGCTCGGCGTTCGTATTCTCCAGTTAAAGTGCGGACCAAGCCCTGACACCCCCCTTAATTTAGTGAAATATGCTACACAGTGAGTCTTCGTGACTGTGCGAATGAGTGGACGCATTACTGTATGTGCGCGCGCGTATACGTAATGCATTGGTGTTTCCCATCTCCTTCCCCAATTTCCTTGCGAGGGAGTGAGTTTCAGTGTGTATGAGTGTAAGTATGTTTTAATGTGTGTGTGAATGAAAAAAGGGAGTGTGTTTCAGTGTGCGCGTGTTCCATTGTGAGATTGTTGTGCGTTGTCCTGATAATGTGGCCTCGTGCGCGCGCGCGTGTGTGTTTGTTGTTGTCTTGGCGCAAATCCTGACATTGCAACCTTCATTTTCGCACAAAAATACAACATTGCATGCGTTTCCCATGACGTCAGACGCCTCTGGCCACGCCCACGTCCCCCCACGTCGGATATTGACGTCTTGTTGTTTGCCACTTGTGTGTGAGGAGAGAAATATCATGGAAAGCTGACATAAACAAATTGTGAATTGCTGTGCAACGGGACAAATTGTCATGTTGCTTTTTGCCCCTCCCATTTTGAAGCAGGGACAGTATAATTCTGCTTGTGTGTGTGTGTGTGTGTGTGTGTGTGTGTGTGTGTGTGTGTGTGTGTGTGTGCGCGCGTGTGCGTGTGTGTGTGTGTGTTGTCTTGACCACATGCTGCAGAGGTGTGGGCACGCATGTGCGTCAAGACAACTAAAAGAAGCATTTATGGATGCTGAAGTTGTTCACGCCCCAGTACGAAGTCTGTCCTGTTATTGTTGCCATGCGCACACACAAAGATTGAGCATACGTGCGTGTTGCAAAAAGTCAGGTTTGGTCGTCACTGCCATTTTGTGAGTCTTCCCACTGAGTCATCACTGATTCCTTCTTTCCACAGTTTGTGTTACCTTGTGTGTGTGTGTGTGTGCGTGTGCGTGCGGACGCGCAACCGCTAGTGTATCTCCCCACTGCTGTGAGGTGTCTTCTTCTGAATTGACGAAAATAACAAGGGTAACGTATCGAGGCTGAAGACCGGGTGCCACGTGTGTGATCCGACGGGGTTCGGTCGCCTCGCACTTGCCAGCCAGCAGGGTCAAAAGTGCAAAGTGCCACCTTTCACGTGAGACATAAAAGAGCAACAAGATCTCCCGACCACAAATGGCTGTCGGAGTCGATCAAACACAGCAATCAGGTCCAACTAAGAACGGAACAAGTCCTGATTGCACTTGATCAAAGCTTTCCAATCCACACATGACTTTTTTTTTTTTTGGGGGGGGCTATTATATGCTGTTATTATACTCGGAGGCTAACAATGCCAAAGTTGAAATCAGAACTCGTGAGAACCACGTTGCAGCCAGCAGCGGAAAGAGAGTTGACCATATTTTCAGTTTAATTGTCAGCTTAATTTAATTGTCGTATTATTTGTGTCTTTGTCGACGTGCCACCTGAAAAAGACGTCTTTGAGGAGCCGACAGTACTTGGTCAAACATCGATTGCATTCATCACTCGCAAATAAAATGCACGCATCTTCTGTTTTTGATCCAGTCCCCTGCTTCGTCGCTTTTTTGAGTGTCACGCCCCCTTTTTTTTTTTAAATGCACTCGCCCATTTACTCAGTCTTATTTCTGATTCAAAACACACGCACACATGTATGGCGGTTCGAGGGAGAGTCCATTATTGGCTGATTTTCGGTCTTGACGGGCTTGGTTGCCGCGCCCTTGAATCACGAGGGTCCAACGGGTGCGAATTCACATGGCCAGCGCGTCTTTCCATATGCGGCGGTGTGGCAAATAGAAATGGCGTTTGTTGCGCTCAGGCGAGCAATTAAAGCGACAGACGGCACGGCGGCGCTTCCCGCCATCGCTCCCTGTCCCGTCGCAGCTTAAATGACTTCAGAACGAGCAAGCGAGCGAGAGAAAAGATGCACGTGTCTCCTCTATGCTGAACATCCGGACTTCCTCGCACATTTTGCTCGTCAATGATGGATGTGTAAATCCTTATTTGAGACGGCAGCACTTTTGAATTTGGATGACGGAAGCATGTTTTTGTTGCTAATGTTCCGTTTTACGTTCCCCCGCCATAGGGACGAGGAAGGGGAACGAGCTCGACGCTCGCAGTTGCGCAGGTGTGCGACCGCTGCTCGGTCACGTGCCTTGTCCCTTCCAAATCAACCCGAAACGCGAACTGCCGTGCTCATATTTCATTGAATGGAGTTATTTGGGGATTTTGCCAGACTCCTTTTGGGCTCTCGGATTGTTCAAATGTGCCCGCGTCCTCCATGTTGACTTTGGGAAGCATTTTGAGGGATTTGGGCCAATACTTTTGCGTCATGCCAAAAGCTCGGGAGCGCCCCCTGGCGGCGGCGGCACAATCGTGACGATAAAACAAACCAACAACAACAACAAAAAGTGGGCGAAAAAACGGCTTTCCACGCCTCGGGAGCAAAATGCTCTTCGATGAGGCCAAAGCCGTCATCGCTTGATGGGACTCCGCCGCCGCGCTGGCCCGATCCCGTCTGGCTTCTTCGCGGGCTGGCCCACCCGAGAGCTTTTAGCATTATTAGCCACCGCCGAACCGTCCATAAATCAACGCCTGGCGGACACTGAGAGGGTTAAGAGGTGGCGCCGGCAGGAGGGAACCCTCTACGGAGCGGAGGGGGGGGGGGGTCTAATGGTAAGGGGGAGGCCGCGCCCCATCCCCCACTCCTCCGCCGACATGCCCCGCATTCTGTTACCCGCCCCGCCCCTCCGCCCCTCCTCCTGAAATAGATCCCAGCTTGGTCATGTTTGAAGCAGCCGCGCTGCTATTGGGCCATTTGACGTCTTGGTCGCCACCGGTGGCGCTCACGTCTTGCTCGAGGGGTCTTTTCCCCTCGAAGAGCGCACGTTCGCTCCGATGTGAGGAACCCCCCCCCCCCCCTTTCAACACGCTGTGGAATGCGCGAGCAACAGATGGTGGACCAATCAGCTTGTGTTCGTCTTTGCGCCGCTTGGTGTACAAATGAGCCGCATGGGTGTTTTTCAAAAAAATGGGGTGGGGGGGGTGAGAGAGAATAAAGAAAGTAGACTAGAAGAGGTCTTTGTTCGTGGAGAAATCGCACATTGACAGCACACCTAAAAGAAGACAAATTCCAGAAATAGCGCCATCCATCCAAACACGCATGTGTGGCAACTACATGCTCGCTGCGTACTGTTCAGTATGTGCAGGCGAGCAAAGCGCCTCCCAGTAATCCAGCCGAGACGACGTCATGAACGACTCTTTCAACGCGCTCTTGAGAAACGCTGACAAACATTCACTTCACGGAAAATGGGGGGGGGCTGACACCGCAGCAAAATAAAGATCAATCAATACAAATATTGGGGGGGGGGGGCAGAGACTTTGGATCATGAACGAAGGCGGCACGGAAGGTCGCCGGAGTGAAGGAGATTGTTTGCTGTCGTGTCTTATGTTATCAGTCCGCGAACGACGACGTTCCAACCGGGGGTGTGAAAATGATTCCGCGATCAATTGACAACTCTTGACAAACGAGTCACGGTTGAGAGCCATTGTCCGAATCCTCGGATTTCAGCCTCCCGACGGTAAATCTTCTGCTTTAATCAACAGAGATGAAGGCAATGAATCCAACGACAAGCGGCCCAGTGGGCACAAATGAATCGGCGCTCCAACTGACCTTGACCAAAACAAAAAAAAAATTGAGGCATATTCAATAGCAATCACACATTTGAGGGGGAAAATCGCACAGTGGTAAAATTGTCCTCATACGTGCTGCTCCTCGAGTTTGGGTGTTACTCCCACCAAATGGGAGGGGTGGCGGGGGGGGGGATACATTGTGACATCCACGATGTCACCTTCTTTTTGTGTCTCGCCGACAAATGAGCTGGCCCTTGAAGAAAAAAAGAAACGCCCCAAAATGGGGCCCTTGCGACAAAAGCTCGAGCGGCAGAGCTTTCCAGAAAATGATGTTGGGCCCCCAAATTGGAGCGCTTGAGTGGCTTTCTCCGCTATAAATAAATGGCGCAAGTTTACAAGGCGGCGTGTTTACATGCCGAGCTTCTTGTGGACCTCCGAGGCGTCTCGCCGGAAACTCCCACGTGGGAGTTTCCGGGCAACGGTGGCCCTTCGCTCTGGAATGGCGCCCGCGCCGCAAAACGGCGAGGGAGTCGGGCCGAGGGCGGAGCAGACGCTGCGTCGTCACGGCGTCGACGCCCTCTTGGTGCGGATGAGAAACGGGTGGGGTGGACACAAAGAGTCTGCCTTGTGCCAGTAATATGCTCTCTCGCTGTTTTGCGCCACCATTTGTGTTCAAATATGTCTTTTGTTGTGTGTGTGTGCGCGTTGGTCAAATACTTAACAGGTGGCTTAATTTTACAATAAACTTCAGCGGGTTATGACAATCAAGCCGATTTATGTGTGACTTTTACACTTGCCATGTTGTAACTTGAAAAAGTTGGCCATGCGTGTGTCAAGGTACCACTGCCGAAGAAATGGTTTCCAAAATATCCTTCCACCCTTGCCACACATTTAAGGCTGGCGGGTGGGGGAGAAACCCACACTTTGAAGGTGTTGTTTAGCGCCTGTTCTCATTCTCTTGGCCACACCCCCTTTCAAAAAAAAAAAAAAAAAGCAGGAGATTGGCATCTGCCATCATTTTGCGGAAGTCAAAAGGAGACGCTCGCTCTCACGGTTCTCCAAATAAGAGCAAGGCCGCACGCTCGCTTCAAGATGTCGATCTGTCACGCTCACGTGAGGTTTCCCGTACGACGCAAAAGACAAAACGGTGGACATTTCGACATCAAGCGGTGTCGCTCGGGTCGCTCGGGGGCTCACTCGCAACGGTGCAATGCCACCGAGGAGGAAGGCCATCTAACCCGTTCTCCTCGCTGTGTTTCAGCTGGCGGGCTGCGTCATCCTGGGCGTGGCCTTGTGGCTGCGTCACGACCCGCAGACCAGCAGCCTGCTGGAGATCAACTATGATGGACAGCAGGCGCCCAGCACCTTCTACATCAGTACGTGCCTCCTCTCTCGCACCCTTTCCGCCGCTCGCCGGCATCCTTCGGACTCACGCCGGCGAAGCGAGGCCGTGGGTCCGGCGGACGTCTTTCAAGCACCCTCGGGGGCCGCGTTTGAGTGCGGGCCGAAGCCGCATCAATCATTCATGGGCCTGATAAGTGGACGGCATCGCCTGCGGCGGCGCTCTCGTCGAGGAAGACAAACGTGACGTCCGTTATGGACGAGCTCGGCCCGAGGCCGGTGGTCATCAGTTCCGCGCCGAACGTCCGCGCGGGAAGTCGCGATGGCGCGTTTTGACGGCCGCTTGAAGCGCCGCCGTCCGTATGCAAAGCCGCTTGGGCTTTTGCGGGAAAATTGTTCCGCCGCGGCGCGGGCAAAAACTTGAATTTGTGACGTCGTCTTGCATCGGCCCCCCCGCCCCCCTTTCAAATGAACGCCATCCGGCTTCTGCCCTCGGTCCGGTTCCTTCAAAGGCGTCGCTCGCCGCCATCGTCTGCGTGTGCCGTCCGGGCCTCTCGGAAGATGGAGGAGCGCCGCCAAATGTTTGCACCCTGCTTTGTCACTGCCTCGTGAGCGTTGTTGTCATATGACCGGCTCGATGCGTGTCGCGTTAACGAGGGGCGGGGGGGGGTGGGGGGGGGGGGCGCCGCCCCGAGGTCAATGCCTTGGAAACCACTTTTGTTTTGGTGTCTTGTGATGGAGGAATGATGGCGTGGCCCCGTTAGGGACAGCCGAGGAGAAGAGAGAAGGCCTCGTTGGTGTCGGAAAAAATTCCTCACGGGCCCCGCCCCCCCCCCCTACGTGAAAGTTTTCCCTCCTTCTTTCCACTGTGGCCCCCTCTCTCTCTCTCTCTCTCTTTCCAGCGTCTCTTTCTCTCTCTCTCTCTTCCCCATCTGCTGGCGGTTAGCATGCGAGTCACGCCGTCCGTTTCTTCCATTTTTTTTTTCCTCCTCCCACTTCCTTCCCTCCCCCACACCTTCACCCAAACAGGCCGTCCTCCTCATCCCTCGGCGACGCCGTCGCACCGCTGCCCGGAAATGATCACGGTGGCGCGAGCGGGTCTCCGGCTTGGGCGACGGACGGCTCCCTTTTTGCCCGCGTCACTTGGCGGGCGACGTCGGATGAGTCACAAGTTCCTCTTAAGTGGATGTGTCATTTCCTGTGCCCAACCGGCACTTTGCGGGTTCCCGCCAGCCACGCGGTCGAGAGCACTTGGGCCGCCTCGTTAGCGGGGATGCGAAAAGCGCTTGACGTGCTTTGAAATCGGTGAGGAATGCAAGGCGCGGATTTGGAAAAACGCTCCCGTCGATCATTGGACAGTGGCCGCGAGTGTTCAGAGTGCTGCTCCGACGGCGATGACGTCATCCCAATCCGCTTCTTTTTCCCACCTTGAAACGTCGTGCGATGGCAAACGGGGAGTAGACGGGGGGGCGCCCGTAGGCGTGAGGCTGAGGCCGGTGAAAGAAAGAACAAAATGAAGTCCAAGTGTCGTTGGATTTTCAGGTTAGCCAACCGTAAATGACGCCGAGCCTCTTTGGTGACTTGGTCAGTCGAATTGCCAACGAACGGAGATCTCTGCTCACCCGATGACACGTGACGTCATCTGATCTCATCTGCCGTTGGCGTGCTCCGCTGCGGTCGCGAGATCGGCCTCATGACGGGTCAGGGCGGTGTCGTTATGTCCGCTTAGCGCAGTACTTGAACATTTTGAACATTTTCACGTTCCTCGCTTTTGCTTCCAAGTCCCCGCCTATTTACACGGCGGGTGTCTGGCACAAGTCGAACCTTCCGCATCATGACAAGAACACGCCAACGCGGTGAGAAGGTTGACTTCAAAATAAACCGCCCCTGACCAATTCATCTGTGGACCTCAACGCGTTTGCCGGCAGCGCGTCGCGGCCGAACGGCTGAGTTCTTACCGGACCGTGTTTGGGGCGTTGATATTGTCGTTGCAAGCCGTTGTCACGATGCCAGTGACACCCCGGGACCCAAAATCCATCATCCAAAGGAGCCGCTCCATGCGCCGCTCGCATGAGGAGGCGGGAGCTGAAATGTCGAAAAGACCCCGCCCCCTCCCGTCTTTCGAGCGGACTTCATTTGCATTGCGGCTTCCCCGTTGGGCGCTTCAGTAGTAGGAATGGAAGTATGAGCGTGAAAATGTTGTGTCAAGTCCAAACGCCAAACATTCCCTCGCAGACGGCGATCAATTCTGTCAGCCCAGCTGCCCTTGCAAGATTGTCAGGAATTCTCCGTATATCCGGCCAAAATATTGCGGTTTGTTTTGTTTGTTTTTCTTGACTGTCGAGGCTTTTAGTGTTTGGGACAAACGGCGAGCGGCTTCCGAGCGGGCCACGCCCCGAAAATCTCCGCTTCCAGGATGGCGGCCGAGCGTCGAGACGCGTCTCCATGGGGGGGGACGCGGTCGGAGGTTGTTAGCCTGCCATTTGGATGCGCCGCGGTGAGCCCCCGCCCCCCCTCCCCGCCGCTCTGGCGCGCGGCGTGCTGCCAATTAGCATCACTGAAACAAACTCGCGCCGCCGTTGGGCTCCACCGCCAAAGTGGAGACGGAGGAGAGTGGCAAAAGTACTCGCGCTCTGCGGCCTACCTCATAGCATGGTGGGCATTGCCATGGACGTAAGAGTCCACCCTGCATGTTTTTGCAAATATTGTATGATAGCCAGACATTGGACTTTGTACTCCACTGAAGAAATGTCATTTCATGTAAAATGAAGTCATCTGTGTCCATCTGGTACAAGAGTCCAAATGTAGTGCCCCCCCCCCCCTTCCAAATAGCTCCACACGCAGCCAATGTGGAAAACCGCTGGCAACAAAAGTGAGGAAACCACCAAGGGAAAATGGACCAATTCGCTCTCTTCCCTCCCTCGTGTCGTGTGACGGCACCGTCTTGAAAGAAAACGCTGAATTCCAGATGCTTGTTTTTCAACGGAGAGAGTAAAAGTCAACGCTTGCTCGAAAATACTCCGCGACAGATCGACCGAAGCACAATAACGCGGGATCTTCCGCCTTCGTCCGCACGCTTGCCAACTTTCTGTCGAGTATTTCTTCAAAACGTGGCCAAAAAACACAGAGCGAAGCTAAAATGGGAACTTTGAACATCTGTTTTCCAAATCGCGCCTGCGACGTCACAGGAAACGGGAAGCGGCAGAAGCGAAGAGGTCTTGCGGCTCTTGCATTGTGTCTTGTAACAATAGCGGGCTAATTGTGGCTAGCTCAACACATCTGGAGAAAGGATTTCGTGTCGGTTCAGCCACCTGTGGGCTAGATCGCGGACTCGCGTTAGGCCCCCCCGACAAAACTTTTTCCTGCGTGCAGCAACTGCAATATTTTTGTCAACAACATGGTTCATACCGCCGCCATTTTTTTTTTTTTGCGAACTTAGCTCTAAGCTGTTTGCTTAGCGCGAGTTTCGGTCGAAGCTACGCTGCACTCAAGACTGCTTGGACGTTAAATATTTCACCGGGTTGAGTTTAAATCGTCATGAAATGTTTTTTTGTGAGCACTAAGGCCGGCGGCACATTCCACGGCGCCTTTGGCGTTCGCTCTTAGGCTGGCAAGACTTAGCGGGATTAGCCAAATACGATTCCATCCGCCACCGGGCGCGGTTTGACTTTCTGTGCCGCGTTGAGTCTCGCCTCGGGGTCATCGGCGATGGCCGAGCCGAGCCGCGCGTGCCGCAGCCTCTTTCGCTCGTCCGTTTGCATATGAACAGCCTCCTTCGCTCCACGCTCTCTCAGGAGTCGGTGAGCAGATGCTGCGGGACGACCGGAAGCGGGCAACGGCGCGGCGGGGCACCGGGAGGCAGATTCAATCACGACGGACAGGAAAGGACGCTTAAGGAAAATGGAATTATGGCAGCAGGGGGAGGGGCGGTGGGTCGTGAAAGACGGCAGCGGGGCTTTTGGCCAAGGTATCGATTTAGAAAATGAGCATTAGTGTGAGTGGCTCTGCAGACAGAGCGGGGATGCCGAGCCGCAATCGAATTACGCCTGACAAGCGCGGCTAATGATGACGAAGGGGAGGATGAGGATGGCCCGCCCCCCCGCTTGCGACCACAGCGACGTCATCGTTGCTCTTCTTTCACCCATACGAGAAAATGGGGTCCGCCGCCCCCTTTTTTGGAGGCGCATCCTCCAAATGATCATCGCGCGTCGATGCCGCGCTTCCCAGTCGCAGTTTGTCAAAACGCCAGCCCCGGAATTGGCTCAAGATGGCCGACTCCCTGTTCAATTTCCTTCATGGGCCCTTGAGACACTGCGAGGCATCTCGCTGTGATGGTCAAATGATTATTTTTCTGTCTTTCCAATTAGAATTTGCGTTTCTGCTTTCGATCAAAATGGCTGACTTCCTGTTCAAGTTTGCCCATGGGGCCTTGGGCAATTTTTTTTCCCCGTGCGTCTCGTTACGATGGTCATGTTGGACACGACGTCGAAAAACGAGCACTGACGTGTAAAAGCCGTTGACCGCGGTCCGGTCGAATGAATGACGGAACATCTCTTGTTTCGCCGGTCAGGTCTCGTCTGCTGAGATCGCATGCTAACAGTTGACGTATTCGGTAGAGCAAGCTGGCCACCCGAGGAAAGAAAGCGCAACGGAAGATTGTTATGGACGCAACAATGTCGCCGTTGTCAGGTACTCCTGTCAAAGTGTCCTTGAGCAAGGTACGGGGGTGGTCACGGTGTCAACAGCTTGCGGTACCCGAGGTAGAAAAGCGCTCGCTCGACACTCGCCGTCTCCGATGAGAATTGCTCAAATGCTAACCGTCGCGACGCTAACCTGCCAAGCAAGACGGCGTTGGCTCATTTTTGGAACATGAATTTGCTCATGATGAGCCCTCTTTTCGATTTTCCTTGTTGGCTCTACTACTTGTGGAACTTTTGGGAGGCAAAGAAAGAAAGAGAAGGAAGGAAAGTGAGAAAGGGGAAGGGGGGAGGAGAAAGAAAACGACTTCCTGTGAGCATAACTGAGATATGACTCACCCTCGCAAACTAAACTGCACTGCACCCCCTGTTGACCGTTAGAGAGCATGACACGCATCGCTCGGAATCCCTCTCATCCAACGTTTCTCGGTTCTGCGCTCCTGCAAAGCGTCTGTTTTGGGGTTGTTGTGTTTTTTTTTTTTGCACATTTATACTCACATTAAATGGACGCGGGTTTCGTTTCAAAACTCCAAACGTCCGGCGGTAGGTTAACATGTGCGTTTTTGTGTTGCGGGCGTGTTTTCCAGGCGTGCACATCCTGATTGCGGTGGGCGCAGTGATGATGGTGGTGGGTTTCCTGGGATGCTACGGCGCCATCCAGGAGTCGCAATGTCTGCTGGGAACGGTCAGTCGGAACGCCACCGCCGCCGCATACGTCTCCCAAGAAGCCCCGCGTTGCCGTCCGTGTTGACGGTCTCGTCTTGTTTGTGCTCTCCTTCAGTTCTTTGCCTGCCTCGTCATCCTGTTTGCCTGCGAGGTGGCGGCTGGGATCTGGGGCTTCATGCACAAGGACACCGTAAGACCACATCGACGCTTTTTCCATGAGGCATGCGGATGTTGAGCGAGTCGGCTTTGGAATCCATGTTCTTGCGGCGGCGGGCAAAGTCGAATGACATCGACATGTAAAAGCCTCCCTAATTTTGGCATTCCACCGTGTCCAAATCGTTCAGTCACAGAATGAGACCAGATTCCTTTTTTTTTTCTCTCTCTCTCTCTCTCTCTCTCTCTCTCTTCGGGGTTTGGTTTTCTTGTTGAGCGTCTGTTTGCTTTTGTGCGCCCATGTGTCTACTTTGTGACGCGAGCAACTTTGTGTTGTCGCGCACGTCAGGTTTCCAAGGAGATGATCAACTACTACGACTCCATCTACGACAAGGCCATGACGCAGAGCGTCACCGCCGACACGGAGAAGAAGAGGGCGGTCGCCTCCGTGCTCAAAGTCTTCCACGAGACGGTACGGACGGCCGCGCCGCCGACGCGCGTCTGGCAGATCCTCGTGGAAATGGACGCAGGCCTATTGCTGCCGCGCCACAAAAAACAAACAAACAAACTAAAAGATCGCTATATTGAGGACACGTTTGGTAGCCTGCCTATAAGGCTTTTCCCATGATGTGTCGCGTTAAGCTAACCAACAGACTTTGACACAATACGCGCCGCGGTGGCATTTGTTTTCGTTTTGCGTTTTAGTTTGGCGGTATACGAATCGTACCTGGCAAACTGTTGCTCGGTCGCTGCCACCATAGCTAGCGAGCTAACTTTACATTTTCACTGTCAGCTCACGATAAAATTCGACGGCTTGTATGTGGAAAAGCTCGCAAGTCGATGACGATGATGATGAAAGTGTTTTTGGAGTTGCTGCGTTATTTTGTTGTTGTTGTTTTGGTTTGGTTCTTTTTTTTTTAGCTGAGCTGCTGCGGCAAGGGTGAAGGCACGTCCATTCTGACCCAATTTACCGACATGCTCGGCGTCACCGACCTCTGTCCCAGCTCTGGAACTTCTGTCGTAAGTTCACAACACACCGCAAACAAAAGTCGTCATCACGCTCCTCGGGAAGTTCCGATCGCACTTTTTGGCACCCGAATCGGAGTCTTTGGTTTTAGGAATCTGCCAGTACCGAATCCCAAACCGGATACCTCCAAAAAAAACAAAAAAAAAAACAACAGCAGCAGCAAAAGGGGGCGGGTGCATGTCTGTACAGTACATCCATGTCTGTTTCTGGGTGAAGCGTTAGTCGACATATTTCCATTGTTAGTAAAGCAGTGAACGCTCATCCTGATAATTGGGGCTATTTTCCATCATGGAGGTTCGCCGACTTTCGCCGACGGCTTGAAAAGCAGCAAAAAGAGTTCAGAGAGAGTCGCCGCGGATGTTTGATGATACGATACATGGCGCGCGTGCCGCGGAAGCCGCAAGGCGAGTCCGACGTGAGCCAAACGCCGAGCGTTTGATGCGTCCCCCGATGGCCCCTGGCGCGCCTCCAAAGATTCTGGGC